CACAAAGCAGAGTTCTGCTAAGAATCTGGGCCTGCTCAATGTGTTCAAAAATAATCTCTTATCTGTTTATTTTTAGGTTCACATGCAGTTTAAGAAGCAGTACAGGCAAGCCAGATGCAGTGGCTCATGCCTGTAATCTCAGCACTGTCAGAGCCCCAGGTTGGGAGGATCACGTGAGGCCAGGAATTAGAGACCACCCTGGGCAACAGCAAGACCCTGTCTCTGCAAAAAAAATTAGCTGGGTGCAGAGGCACACACTCTGGAGACTGAGGCAGGAGGATTGCTTGAGCCCAGGAGTTCAAGGTTGCTACGAGTTATGATCACACCATTGCACTCAACCTGGGTGACAGAGTGAGATCCTGTCTCTGAAAAAATAAATGAATAAATAATTCATAGAGACCCTGTGTACCCTTCACTCAGGTTCTTCCAGTAGTGACCTCTCATAAGTACGTACACTGTCACCACCAGGAAATTGACACTGTTACAAGATACAGACCACTGACCTTACGCCGGTTTTAGCAGTTTTACATAATACTTGTGTGTGTGCGTTAGGGGAGGAGCAGTAATACAATAGCAATGACATGGGTCCTTTTAAAGTCAAGAAACATCATGGTTTCAAAAAAGGATAATGATCTCCTGCCTAAGTAAGTCATTTCAAAAGCTTTTTTTTTTAAATTTGTATATTCTCTTTTTGAAGCATCCAACTTACCCAGTCAAGGTCACAAAGTATACTTATGGCACACATAGTCTGCAAGTGAACCAGCAGCAGCTGCGGTTGGTACAGGAGCCCCCTCTGCCTCCTCCCATCATCCACCTCTTTGAGTGTGCAGGTACACACACACACACAAACACACACACACTGTCTCTCTCTCTGTCTCTCTCTCTGATTTTCTGCTGCTTGCTTTTTTTTATGCCTGAGTACCTTGCTGACAAGCGCTAATAACAAAATACCCAGAGAGAGTCCAGTTGAAGTTAGCATACATTAAACATTCTGAACTTGTCCTTTTGCTCATAGATTGTGCATAATTAATAATTAAACAGTTTCAGTTGTAATGGGTTGACCTTCTTGAACTGTTCATTATTCACAAGGCAAAGGCATCACTCAAACTTTTTCCCCTTGTCCTTCACTGCTCTCTAGCATGCCACGTGCTTGTGTTCCAGTTGTTTAGCAAAAGGGGCTGACCAGGTAGTTACTGAAACCTCTGGGGCTTGGAGACCGTCCTTCTTGATGACCAGAATTGCTTACGGAAATGGTTTATGGCAGCTGTTTTTATATAACAGTTGCCTGCTCGATAACAAGATCCAGCTTGTGTCCCTCCAGCAGGACTCTAAAGTTGATTTGGGACTAGCATCTCGGGTTAAGGCTTTTGGTTAAGGTTGTGTCCACTGTTTTTGTTCCACACCTCTGTGCATAGAAATGCAACAGAGAAGCATCCCAAAATAAGCCCTTGGGATGAAGTGTGGCACCCAAGGTCTTAAAGAGAGTGGCTTTTATTAACATTTTAGGATTGGTTTCCGCCAGTATCCAGAGTTATTATCCAAACTGCTTCTTCAATTTGTATTTATATTTTTTGGAATGTATTTCTCCATCTTGCCAGAACAATATTTTATGAAGGATGTTTTGGTAAGTAGCAGCGACTATTTTATTAGAGTTGCTGACCCCTTTGGGATGGTTCTCATTTCCCCTCTAACCTCACAGTGTCTGGATGCTTTCCCTTCCTGTGAGCTAGTGAAACTGGAGGGCATATTTACTGTGCACTCCCCACACATACAGATTTGAATAGGGTACCAGAATAGGCAGACTCTTGGAGATCTTTCACATCCTGATCTAAACTAACTTCTAATTTTATTTGCTTTAAAAAGAGAAAAGTGGGGCAGCGCCTGTGGCTCAGCTAGTAGGGCGCCAGCTCCATATACCGGGGATGGTGGGTTCAAACCCAGCCCCGGCCAAACTGCAACAAAAAAATAGCTGGGTGTTGTGGTGGGCGCCTGTAGTCTCAGCTACTGGGGAGGCTGAGGCAAGAGAGTCGCCTGGCCGAGGAGCTGGAGGTTGCTGTGAGCTGTGTGACTCTACAGAGGCCAATAAAGTGAGACTCTGTCTCTACAAAAAAAAGAGAGAGAAAAGTGTACTTTAAAATCTTTTTGTGCAGTGAATATACTCAGTTTTATTCGTTTGCTTTCCTTTGGAGTATTAACCGCCTGTGTACTTTGGTGGGGTTGAAGGCTCTCAGAGGCCTCCTCAGCCCAAGTGTTTACTTGTAGCATTCTGGCCACCCCCTTTTCTAGTCAGTCTTCTGCATCTCAGAAAATTCTCTCGTGAGATAGGCAAGAGACATGGATTTTAAAAGGAGAATAAATATTTGGCATTATGCATGTGAGATTAGAATCCCTGCCCCCATCTTTGATGAGTGATTTTTTCCAGGGACCACTGAGATGAGAATCCACTCTCTGTGGTTCTGCAAAGTCAACTTGGGCTGATGTTTTTCAGAAGTGAAATAAATTATTCATGGGTACCACCCAGTGTTCCTTAGTTTTATAATATGAGAAATTTAACAGGCTACAATATCAGGTCTTAAACAAAATTAACTGCCCATGCAAGATGTCACATTTCCTCGTTTTCTCATCCATGTGAAAATGACATCTTCATCAAGTTGCCTAGTCTATAATTCATTAATTTACTCTTGGTATCATACTTTGAAATGAAACCCACATTAGCATCATATTTTATACCAGATCTTTATAGAAAACCAGTCAGGAATTTTAAGCATCTTGGTAAATATTCAGCCGCATTAAGACAGTAGGCTTTTATTTTTCTAAATATTGCATTTTAAAGCAATACTTATTCAGACACTTCTAGTACTACACCCTCCAAAAAAAAAAAAAAATTCATAAAGGGATGACTTAGAGAAGCTTCTTCACTGATCAGAGTCCATAATTTTGGCATCTCAGACTTTGAACTATCTTTTTACTAATGATTTTTGAGACAATAAAATGTCATTTCTTGCACTGGGACTTGTAGAATCTTGCCAGCTTGGTGATATGGGTTTCCTAAAAACAAGCTGAGGCTGAAATTGATATCATGGTTTATTTTTGCTCTTCAAACCTATGGGACTTCTGTGACCATTTTATAGTACCTTTATTGAGGATTTGTCATGTTATTCTGTGCCTTGTTTCTTTTGAGTGGACTGTTTCATCACGGCCCCCCTTTCTGTTTTTCACGCCCTCGCTATGTCATGCTTCTGTGTCATCCTTTGAACATGGCAAGATTTTATTTCACTCCCATTTTCCTTTGTTTTCCAAAGCTCTTGGACGCCTTTCACTACTGATGAGAATTTTAAGTTTAGAATTATTAACCTTTCCCTCTTCTGTATGAACAGAGTAAATTCAAAGAAGAGAGATATGTAAAAACCAAGAACTATATCGTTCATATTCCTTTTCTTTTAAGCTCTCTGGGGTTTTTTTTGTTTGTTTTTGTTTGTTTTTGTTTTGGCTGCTTTGACCGCCTTAGTTTCTTTTGATTTAGTTGTATTTTCCAGCAGTTTCCAATTGTTTGAATTGGAAACAAAGCCTTAATAAGAGTTCTAGTTAATTTTCTGTCTTGTAATTACCGATCTCATTTTTCTGATAATTGGCCACAGCAATTATATGTATATTTACTAATCACATAGGAGGCTGTGCAATTGTATCTATCTGCCACCATCGATAATGACACGCATATTGCAGAGGTGCTTTTATCATCTTCTTTTTTCCACTACATCAAAGCTATTTCCTCTCGTTCTCAATAATGAATACATGCATGCATTTGACACAGTTGTGTGCTAGAGAAATTGTTTGGCTCCCACCAAATGCTGCATGTTCTGAGTTTCTTGCCTGCAGCGCTGGAAGGTTGTATGTAATGATATATTGCTCATCCAAATGGCCAAAGCACTCCAAAGCACAGTGAGATTAAAATAAGTCATTCCTTTGTTAATTTAAATAGGTGCATGTATCATACTTTGCAGGGCACTTTGTGTAGGGATGTCAGGGAGAAAAAAAGCCGCCGAAAGGTATTTTTAATAGCAAATGAGAATAGATGAGAATGGAGTCATTTGCAGCTGCCTACTTTATGTGGCTCTCTTGTTCCAACTGTAGGTCTAATGAGATGACTGTTAAAGTACTCTGCAGTGTAATTTCATTACATCCTGAGCTGTTACACTATAAACACAGTGGCGCTCTGTCATTCTTAGAGAAACTCCTAAATTCTTAAAGCCTTCCTTTGCAAAACGATAATGGGGTTTGTTGCCTGTGTTTCGTGGCGGTGGTGGTTTGACGCTGTGTAGTTTTCTGCTCTTCTGAGTGACTCCCACCTCCACCCCGGTTTTGTTTGGGAGTTTTTCATTGTGTCCTTCATTATTGGCTTTCTCACATGCGGAGTTTGCGTAGACTGGCAAATAAGCTGAAATTCCTTTTCAGGAAACAACGTCCCCTATAAAAGCCTTTCTGTTAAAGTTTAAAAAAAGAAAAAGAAAAAAATCTGACCCAAATGATTTCATTAGGAACAAGCAGTTAAGAGCAACTGAATATACAAATAAATGTAAATAAAAAGGAAAGTGTAAATAAATAGCAAATCCAGTAAAAGAAACAAAGGTCAACACAAGAATAATTTCACAGCTCTTTGTTAATTACAAGACCATTTGTGTGTTACTTAAATAATCATTAATTTCTCATTTACACTTTCCCTACCTTCTCTCCTACCCTGTGGCTATCATTGTCCTTTTTTCACCTCCCCTCCCTCTCTGCTCTCCTGTTTCTCACCATTGTAAAATGTGTGTGGCTTTAAACTTGGCGTTTTTACCTAAATGTGTGGAAGAAGTAGAGACAGTCTTTTTAATTGGATGAGGCCTTATTTTCATTGTATTCATCTTTACACTGTTCCTTTGCGGGGGTGGGCTAGGGGTGGGCTATAAAGGAAGAAAAGGAATTGTTGTGACTTTTGGTGACTTCTTTTTCCTCCATCCCAGGATTCGCCCGTCCTTCCAGTTGGAGAGTTCTCGGAGCCATTTGTACATTTCATCACTCAGTGGTGAGCCTGTTTGCAAACATGCCATGCCCTCAATGTAAATGATACATGCCATTAACTCTGCGGCTCCATGAGACCTTATGGCTCTCCCTGCTTCCTTTTGGAGACAGGAGGGACTTCAGGGCCTTGGGCAGATGGGGTAGCAAAGCTGAAGAAATTGTTTAAATTATGTAAACGTTATTTACACAAAGAGTCATAAACGTACTTCAGAGGCTTTTTCCTGTTTTAATAAACTGCTGAGAGTCATGCTACTTCTTTGAGCACAGATACTGTTGCTGTCCTTTTTTATTTTTTAAAGAAATATACAATTTTATAGTCCCTGTTGAACAGACATATGAGCCTTATTTTTATTAACGTAACCTCAAGTTACCCATAAAACTGTCTGTCACTTAGTGGAAGCAGCCTAGTTTATTAATACATTAGATCTTCAGTAAATAACTTTTTGGTTGTATTTTAAACACAATACTGAGGTCCCATTTCATATGAATTTTGATGTTTGAGAAACTGAGAAAACATAGTTCCATTAGGCCTACGTTAACCCTTACAAAATTAAGAGGAACCACTGATGTCCTCGGGTCTAGGCAACGCCTAATCATTTTCTACCTAAGGAATTAAACATTTTTCTGCCAAGGGTTCTTTTCCATCCTTCTGCCTTTTGCCTCACAGCAGAACTCCCTTTCTTCTATTACCTCTTTCACTACCACCTCCCCATCCCCTATCCTGAAGGACTCATGTGGCCTTGGGAGACCCACTTGTTCCCCTGCCCTCTCCATCCCCCCAGCATGGAGGATTACTCAGGAGAGAGGAGGAAATCGGGAGCATAGGAATGACTGTCCTCAAAGCAAGCACAACCCAACCTGAATTCCTTCGTAACTACTTTGCCCCTCTTTCCTTCCTTCAGAATCCTCATTTCTTCACTCCTTCAGAGTCATGTCCACTACTGGTGGAAAACCAATAGGCAGATCCTGCCCAAAGAAACCCTTCCTGTGGTGTGCCAAGTGGTGTAGGCAGGAGTTCTTGCTAAACCAAGATGGTTGAATGCTGTCCCCTCACTCTCCCCCATTATCCATCTGATGATTACACCGAAGTGAGACCAAGAAATATTCCTTAGTATAAATGTCAAGCTTTATCACCTTTTTGACTAAGTGTGATGTGTTACCTCTTAATAAAAAAAATGTCTCATACAGTTCACATTCCATAGAAAAAATATGTGGGGAAAATTTTTCCCCTGATTTTAAAAATTTTTATTAACACTTTCTGTTTATTTAAAATAATATTCTGTTTTTTTATATACTATTCTATTTTTTTACTTTGAAAACATTTTATTTCCAAAGCATGCCATGTTGGAAAAAAAGCATATGTATTAATTTAACACTGGAATCCTGAGCTATTTTGAAGCTCATTGTTGATGTTAGAATCATTATCCAGAAATATATATTAATCTCTGTTCATTTCTTTTACACGGAATTCCTAAGAACACTTGGAAGCATATCAAGGCAGTGCCTCATTTTTAAATGCAGAAGACTGTAAAACAAACCTGCAGTTCCTATGCTGCCTGGAGGCCTGGTTTGAGCGGCACCCACTCCAGAGCTGTTGCATGTGTGACTGGATCACAGCACTTACCTCTCGCTATGTGGTCTGAAACCAACCTGGGGGTAGAGCTGGTCTGGGCAGCAGGGAGAAGAGTAGTTAAGGCTCTACCTCCCTTTTGTCCAAAAAATTAATCAGCTGTTATTTAAAAGTTTTATAGAGACAGTGGGAGGGATAACCTGTGTTGAAATTTCCACAGATGTCAAGCCGAAACAGAAATGATAGTGGGTAATAGCCTTGTTTTCCCAAGAGATACAGCTACTTTGGAATGTCAGATTAGGACTGTTACCAACTCCACTGGCGAGACAGCTTGAATTACTTGCTAATGGATGTAGTATTTGAGAGGTGCATATGGTTATTTATGGGGAAGGCAAACGTCCTCGATGTCATTAATGGTTCATAACTACGGATCTTATTTACCAAATGATCGTTAAATCTCTCTATTTAAAAAAAAAAAAAGTACTGTCAGCAAATGCAGAGACTATACGGAAGGGTTTTCTTCTTGTTTTTTAGAGGATGCCTTATGTAAAGAAAGCATCTGTGTGATTTTCCAAGTAGTAGAAGCAGCAGTCTCTTTTCATGACTTCATCCCACAGACACTCTTTGAGTTTAGAACAAATACAGCCATCACAGGCAGCTCGGGCGCACATAGAAGTGCTCTATCACATAGCTAAGTACGTTCTACAACTACTCATTATACCTATTGTGCGGAAGATAAAAAATATTTTGCATGAGGATCGTGCTTCTTTAAGCAGTTTAAACAAACTTAGCTGTGCAACATACAGCTGTTTAATGAATTATCAACTTGCATTGTAGCCAAAATAAACGCAAGTCCATATAATGTACAGTTACCCATTTGTAATTTTGTAGCATTATCTAGATTCCTGACCTCTTTCACATACTATTTGTTGTTCAGAGTGACAGCGAAGGAATTAGACACATTCTTACTTAACTTGATAGTCAAGTTTCCTTTTTTACTGTCTTATCCCAGTTACCAAAAAGGAAGTATATTCCCCCAAATTTAAGTATGAAATAAATTGACAAGTCAGGAAGAGATTATTGCTGCTTTTTTCACATTCATTTCAAAAGTAAAATTAGAGGCTCGGCACCTATAGCTCAACCGGCTAAGGCGCCAGCCACGTACACCTAAGGTGGCGGGTTCGAATCTCCAGCCTGGACCCGCCAAACAACAATGACGGCTGCAACCAAAAAATAGCCGGGCGTTGTGGTGGGCGCCTGTGGTCCCAGCTACTTGGGAGGCAGAGGCAGGAGACTCGCTTGAGCCCAGGAGTTGGAGGTTGCTGTGAGCTGTAATGCCACGGCACTCTGCCCAGGGGGACAGCTTGAGGCTCTGTCTCAAAAAAAAAAAAAAAAAGTAAAATTAGAATATGTTTCAATTTATTCTTTTATCTGTATTGCAAAGATAAAAAGTAAGATAAGTTTTATTAAAGTAACTAAAAAAAAAAAACTTTGTATTTCTGATTATTAAGGTCCCCAGAAATCTCATTAAATAGGCAAAAAGAAAAGAAAGACAGTACTTTGGCCAAGAATTGGACATGATGAATTTTTAAAACATTCAAATTCCAGGAGATATAGTGAATAGTGGGAATCATAGTGTAAATTTACAAGGGATAGAGATAATATGAGGTTTTTTTCTCCCCCTACTACAGCATGCGAAAGCAGCCAAAAGAAAGGCCAGCACCTGAGGAATTGATGGTAAGTAAATATTTTTAGTTACATTAGAATTCTTCAGTTACATTTATGTTTAATGTGTCCTTTAAAAGATAGAATGAAATTTAAAACAGCCAGTCACTGGAAAGTTAACATTATTTTATTTAGAAAGGTGTTTTTGAAGCTTCTACCCTCAGATGATAGTCTTCAGTTCTTAAAAAGCTACCACTTTTTTGAAATTTAATGCAGAGCTCTTTTCACTCACTGCGCTCAAGGGTTACAAACTTAATACAGGTCACTCTTTATCCTTATTTGCTATTACAGCCTTTCAGCATCCAGAGGGTTGGTAACAGAAGATAGCATATGAAGTTTTTAGTGCAGTCCTATAGGAAAGTTCCGAATGCAGCATGGACTCCTCCCAGATTCACGTAGAATGGAATTAAACTGGCTGCAAAAGATCAAGTTAATGTGAAGCTTTGGTCTCTCCTCAGAAAGAGACAACTACAAGGCTGCTAATGCTCTGTTCTCAGCTCCAAGGCAGCTTTCTTTGATTGCAAATGACAGTTTTTAGTCAAGCAGGGAGAGGAGCAGAGATGCTCCCTAACAATTCCCAAATGGTCATTTATTTAGTGCAGATTGTTGATTTGACAATGCACAAGCTGTTAGAATAATGTTAGGATCGAGCATTAGTAAATAATAATTATAGTCTACTCTTTCTAATGTTTTGCATACCCTTCTCTGCCTTTAGACTACTACAGTCAGAGCAAATTCCTATCAGTTTTTCACCTCTTTAAATAATATGCATTTTACAGATATCTGTTCAGAGGATTTCATCTATTACAGTGCTTAACAAACATTTTAAGCACCCAAACTTCTGCATAATACAGATTTCATCCCCAAATATAAAGTAACAGTAAGTTTGCTTTTTGCATCTTGAATACTTTTCAGGAAGGCACTTCTCTCTTTTGGGTTCCCAGGGAGCAAAGTCTCAGTTTTCAGGGTAGTTTCCAGTTAAAGTTCACCCCTAAAACCTCTGCAATTTATAACATATAGGTTTCATGTCTAGAATAAACTGGGTTTGGCTCTTTATTTTTTTTTTCCGACTCTTTGATGGTTGGAAGATTCTTGCAGTTAGTCACATTTGAGAAAACTTGGAACAGGTTCTAGAGATGGAGACCCATTTACCTTGTGCATTATGATGCTATGGCTGGATAGCTCAGCTATTAAAACAAAGGAATAGGGTTTCATATAACAGATATTTGTTTGTAAATGCATGTTTCAATGCTGCGATGAGTTGGCCACTTACAAATAAAACTTCTGCACATTGTACATGCACTCATAAATGCACGTGGATGTACGTGTTGGTAAGGAACACCACTGCAGGTGGCAGATCGTAAAGACAAGGCTGAAGGGTGCGTACTTTCAATGCTTCAGAAGCAAGTGGGTGTCTCTGTGTGTTCGTATGGTGGGGGAATATGTATTTAGAGATATCTCTTTACAACTGTACACCCTGGTGTGTCCTGTCCCACATTTTTAATTAACAAGTATCAATAAATCAATAAAATACAATGAAAAATGTAGTCACAGGAAATACCATCCCATACTTAATTTAGCATTATTTCTAGTACTGCTCACTGTTTGTTTTAAATGAATGTATTCCCAGAGGCATAGCACCATGAGGCCCCGCTGATTTGGTAAGGGCTCAGTGAGGAGGCAGGAAACACTGGACTGGGTGTGGAGCTACGGTGGTCACGGGATTGAGCCCTGCCAGTCTTTGGCCAAAAGGTCGAGCCCAATAGCAGATGGGCAAAGAAAGTGAGTTTTCCTTTGTCTGAGGAACCCAAGTCACATCCTAGGGACCAGTCTTAAGGAACCATTCTCTTTATTCCTTCCAGCATATTAATGGCTTTAATTTTTCCTTTTCCCTCTCTCCCTACAACCTATTTGATGGTTCTCCCATCTGGAAGGCGAGAGCCTCCTCTAGAGTACATGAACTGTAGAGCCCATTTGTCACTGTGGGTAGGGGCCTATGCCTTTTGTGAAAAGAACAGTTTATCTCCCAAACACAGTAACTCCAGCCAGCAGGGTACCAACGTGCACTGCAGAAGCTTGGGCTGCATCAGATGTGAGGACTACAGGATTGTTGAGGTTTCCCTGTGGGCCTCCATTTTCCAAAAATCAAAGGAAGAAAATCAGAGGTGGAGTTGGGTAGAAATACCGAAAGTTAAGAGATTTTGAAATCTTACATGAACTCCATGACTTTACCAGGGAACACAGCAAGTCCCAGCCTAAGTAAATCAGAATGTGAGATAAGTGGACCAGATCACACTCTTGGACCTTGGCTATGCACATACTGGGCAAGTGATTTTTGTCTTTTTATTCCATAAGATCACTGTATATACCAGAATTCACAATATCAAACTTTTTTTTTTTTTTTGAGACAGTTTGACTCTGTGGACCTAGGTAGCTCATAGCAACCTCAAACTCAAGGGCTCAAGCAATCCTCTTGCCTCAGCCTCCCAAGCAGCTGGGACTGCAGGTGCTTGCTATGATGCCTGGCTAGTTTTTCTACTTTTAGTTGACATAGGGTCTTGCTCTTGCTCAGGCTGGTCTTGGCCTCCCAGATTGCTAGGATTATAGGCATGAGCCACCATACCCTGCCCCTGACAGTTTTTGACCATGTCAGTCTTTTTTTTTTTTTTCCGGTGTAATAGAGAGCGATTTTATTTAGGAAAAACAAAAAGAAAGTTTAGAGTACTTGCAAAGAGAGTTGAAAGTGGGTCCCTCCCATGAAGGAGAGATACAGACCAACCATATCAGTCTTCACAATGAAACATAAAAAACTCAGTGTTAGATTCTTGAGATCATTAAAATCCCAGGGTTGGAACTCATTTAATTATTTAGCTCTTTTATTCCTTCTACTTTTGTGTGTGATGGCTCTTAAGATGGTTGTCAGTTTTTATATCCTAAACAGAAGTATATTAAAGTTGGACCAAGAAATTCCGTTAGTGCTACATTTGGGGGAGCCGAGGGTCTATATGAGCTGCTCCAGGTTTCTGGCGTGTAGCCATTAAGCTACACAGAAAATGTACTCAAAAGTTTTGTCATCGGTATCCCCATCATCTTAAGAGATCTTAGAATCAGATAATCAAATTCAGCAGGCCACTGGGTGCAAAGTCCTATGCTAGACTCAGAAGACATAAAGAAAAGTAAGCCACATGGCTATGGTTTTGCAGGGGGTATTGAGTGTACTTGGAGGTCCTTTTGACATTGACCTGGTGGAGTTCAAATTAAGTCAGTTTCTTAACCTGCTTCTATAGAAGGAATCCTAGTGTCCAGGTGTGAAAACTCTACTTCCCATTCAAGTGTAAGGAAGTCCTTCATCCTTGGGGAAGGTATGACCCTTCTTCAATTTTTTAGAACCTGTTGCATAAACCAAGAGTCAGCTCCAAACCCAACAAAAGTAAACTAGCCATGTAAATAGCCAAGAACATTCTGTATGCTGGCACATCCAGCCGGATAGGAGTCCCCTACCTGTTCCTGTGATAATGACTGTGGGATTGTTTGGTTTTTTGTTTTGTTTTTTTTTTGTCGTTTTTTGATGGGGCCAGGTTTGAACCCGCCACCTCCGGTATATGGGGCCGGCACCCTACTCCTTGAACCACAGGCACCACCCCGATTTTTTTTTTTTTTTAAGAGCATCTCACACTGTCTCCTAAGCTGGAGTACAGTGGTGCTATCATAGCTCATTGTAACCTCAGCAAACTTCTGGGCTCATGCGATCTTGCTGCCACTGCCTCCCAGTGTGCTGGGATTACAGGTGTGAGTCACCACTCCTGGCCAGTGCTTCCGTTGTTAAAGAACCTGCTCTTAAATCACACTGATGCTCATCATAGGAACAACCTGTGTTGTTGGCTCTGGGACCCAGGGCCGCCAAACTGAGGAAAAACCTTTCAGACAGTGAGTCTCTGAGGAGGTAGGAGGCTTACACAGCCCGGCTAATGTTGGAAAAGGCCAGCTTGTGCCAGTCAGAAAGGATTGGCAGGACTGCAGCAAGAGGGGAAAGGAAGATAAAGCAGAGATGGTAGAGAAATCTCCCCCAAATGTCAGTAACCAAACTGAGGGAAGCACAAACATAAAAATCAGATTCTTGAATTTAGGGACAGAGAGGCAACTTAAGATGGTAGCATTAAGATGGGTGGGGGGGGCGGTTTCAGGTGTGTTTTTTGTATTCAGTTTATGTTCAAATTTTTAAATAAAAGGAATATGATGAGAAACATTTGCTTCTGTAAACCACAAAGAATTCCATCTGAGGAATTAATCTTCAGGGTTTTTTGGCAGCTTAGGTCAAGCTGTGACTTGATGTCACCCCGGACTCTATTCCCTCTCCACTTCAGTATCTCCATCTGCAAAACTGAGGGGCCGGACTAGATCAGCAGCCCTTGACCAAGGCTCTGTGACTTCAGGAAGTCAGTCAGAGCCCTGAAATTACATCCAAAATTGTGTGTGCATGTGGAGATTTGCATATTTTTCTGAAAAGAGGAATTCATGGCTGTCACTAGTTTTTCAAAGCAGACCATGACCCTAAGTGATTGCTAAGCCCCCTGTCTACCTTTCCATTCTGTTCCTTAGAGATGTGCGTTCAGGACCAGACCAGCAGCTCAGGGGGGAGGAGGCATTCACTCATGGGGGAAGGGTAGGCGGGAGCTTGCTTGGCAGGGGGAGGGTAGGGAAGGGTCCTCCCTGTGGGGCTCAGCAGGTCTTCCCACCAGCTGTCAGGCAGCCCTTTAACCTCCCAGCCCCTCCTGAATGTGATCCTTGACTCTAGCAGGGAGGGTGTGGGCTGTGTGCACCCTTACAGTTACAATTTGGGCCCAGAGTGCTGTGGATCCTTCTATGCATTTAGAGTATTTCCAGAAGCTTTCCATGTCTAAGCTCTATTTAATGGAATCTATGCATAGTAAGTAATCAGGTCAGAAGAAGCAGCATCCCGGTTTGAGATCAATCGCTGGCTAATACTTTATCTAGGCCACTTTATTATCTCA